CCATGATCCTTTAAGTACTAAACCCTAAACCCGAAATCCTAAACCCTAAACCCTAAACCCTAAACCCTACTTACTAAGTCCCATGATCCTCTAAGTAAACCCCAAAACCCCAAAACCCTAAAAGCGGGCCCCAGGGTTTAGGGTGTTGGGAGGGCTTTGGGGCCTTTGGGGAATCAACACACTTCAGAAGCAGGGTTTAGGGTTTAGGGTTTAGGGTTTAGGGTTTAGGGTTTAGGGTTTAGGGTTTAGGGTTTAGCCTGAAATCCAAATTCAGTGCAAGGCTGGGAAACACTTCAGGGGCTAGGGTGTAGGATCGAGACTAAGTCGTACATGCACGGCAAGGGGGCCTGGATCGAGTTGGCAGTCAGGCAGCAATGCCAGTGTCTGGAAGATGTGTTGATCACTTCGAAGGAGAAGTCAAGATCCTCCCCTGTCTCGCAACTGAGACCTCGCGTACGAGCGTTGGCGCAAGAGGACAGCAAAACCAAACCTTCGAACTCACGCCGGTCTAGGAGGGCTCTTTCACCTGTCACCAAATCCACAGTAGCTACTCTACGAAAAGGGTGTTGTTGTAATTCTTCTGCCAGGAGACGGTACTTCTTCTGCGATGGACGGACGACAAGGCCCACACCTGTGAGGCGGAGAGTTGCAGCTGATTCCTTACATTTCCGCCTGCTAGCGCCGTTCTCACGGCTGAGGGCTTCAGAGTTGGGATTTAGTACCATATACCAGCATCCTCAGCCTCAGAACAAAAGGACCTGGCATGAAAACACTTCGCACACGAAGGGCTTGGGTTCAGCGCACTTGTAGTGAGAATGGTAATAGGTCATGGAAAGTCTCGATCTGAGACAGCATAGCCCATTGACCGCTGTAAACACCCAGGAACCTTCACGTGCTAGACCCTTAAACCTACTTCGTCCCAAAGCCTGCAGCTAGCCAGGAACTTCTCCGATGCACAACCTCCTAGACAAGCCTACCAGCCCGACGGATCATTCGCCAATCATACTTGCTAAACTCTGAACCGCATAAACCTCCACACCCTGTGTCCTCTCCTGAGCCCAGCTGTGGGTCCAACACCCAGGGGCCCTTCCAGGGGCCGCAGCGCGCCTCTGCAGAAGGTTGGGGACTAGGCCTTCTGCCTTGAAAATCCCCTAAACCATAGGCTCTGACTGCTAAAGCTTCAAATTGGAATACAGTGCCCATGCACTTGGGAGAAAATGGGACAAGAGCCGCCAAAGCGTGCTGGGGCACTGGTGGGGATGCTCTCCTTTCAGCATATGCACCGGCAATGTTGAAGCTCTTCGAAGTTTTGACGCTCCGTGGCTTTGCAGGAGCAGCTGAAATACTCCTGATGGACCAAAGCCTGTGGTATCCGAGTAGAAAGAATAATATACGCAGTTCCCATAACTGGACGTACATAAGACGGCAAATCGGGACAGCACCTCTAGTAGACCCGAAGGCTCAAACACCTCATGCAGCGGAGTGCTGCATGCAAAAACTGTGCTACTTTGTGAGTGAATCGCATGTCGAATCCCTTGCAAGTCTTGTCGACGCAGCACATGGAACCGGTTCCGAGAACCCGCATCAAACCAATATTTCAACATAGGCATCCACCACCTTCCTTGAACAAAACTATCCTAAACCCCATGGGCTATGGAGCTATCAAGACAGACCTGGGCCTGGAAGGCGCTGGGGACCTCGTCGAAGCCCAGCTTGGCAGCCACGGCTTCCGCCGCTCCCTGGGAGATGCAGCCGCAGCCATCGGAAAGGCAAAACCGACCTCGCGGATGGGCTCTCCTACCTAGGGTATTGCACCGGAGTCCTCGTGCACATTCGGCAGAAACAGATGCGCAACCAGAGTGATCTCTCAACTCCGAGCCCTGAGAACATAAAGGCATGGACGGCATGGAGGCCGCACAAGTTCAAGCCGAGCCACGCTCCGAATCCCACAAGTCCTCTTCCAAGCGCACGGACAGGCCGGTGTCAGCGCGCGTCTCAGAGAAGGACAGCTGCAAGCGTTGGTTGAACTTGCACAGCGTCATGTCCTGCAAGGATTGTCTGCAACGGTTGCTTATACTGTGATGGCCACCTGTAGTGTAGATCTCTCCGCTGACCCCTTTGTAAAATGGACAGACTTCCTTCATGGTCAGGTTCAAGACGGTTATCTGAGAATTCGGCATCTTGTCGAGTATAAACGTTCTGGTTGTGAAACCTTCCCGACAACAAGTAGTGATTGTCTCGGACCTCCACCTGATCATATACCACCCGGCGTTTTGCCGAGGCCTCAAGACCCTAGATCTCCAACTTCTTGAGGAGATCTTTCTGTTCTTCTTGAGGCACTGGTGTCGAACCTGTGGGGATGCCTCGATTCTTGGGAAGGTCCACGACAAGCACAAAGACCGAAGCAAGCGTTGCACTACAACCCTTGAGCCCAAAGCATCGAAAGCAAATAGACTAAACAGATCCACATGTCATGCAAGAAGCCTGACCTGTGCATACCTGCGCTGCTTTGGGGATGCTCTTCAGCGAGGATCTTGGCACTGTGAAAATCTTTGGGTATCTGTAGCCTACACAAGCGGTAGCCTAAAAGAGCCTCAACATGAAGCACAGGAAGTGGAAACGGCTCACTGATCTTGTCTTGCATTGCAGTAGAGCAAGCTTTCATGTCAGAGTGGCTGTATATGAGGGAAGCCCTTTTTCCTCAAACCCTTACATACCGCGGTCCTGGTTGACCGCCATGGGCACAAGCTCGTTCCACACCGTCTCCACGCTCTGCTCCTGCATCTGATTGCTTGGCCCTAACTTGCCTGGGTTTAGGGTTACTATGAACTCTGTGCCTATGAAAAACAGCTCCCTAAACCCTAAACCCTAAACCCTGGGTTTAGGGCCCTTGTAGGGTTTAGGGCTACTATGAACCCTGTGCCTATGAAAAACAGCTCCTCCAAGCCGGGGCCCTTCTCTGCGAAGTAGGTGACTTGATCGGGCACCTCCATGACACCCAAGGCAAGTGAGAACCAGGAAGACCCGAGAGGAAAAACCAAAGGGCTTCGCCGCAAAACCCCTTTCAAAGCTTGGGCGTTGTCGAGGATCAGTTTTTCAGGTTGCACGTCGAAAGCTGCTTAAGTTGGCAAACTGAGCCGTTTTGGGTTCCCTTAATCTACGACAAGTGCGCTTTAGGATAACTTGGGATTCCATTTTTTGGCCAGTCTCAAAAAGTCTCCCAAGTCCTGGTGAAGAGGTTTCAAGAGATCGAGGGCGAAAAGAACAGCGAGAATAGATCCCACAGTCGGGACCGGGTTGTTAGTCGCAAAAGTAGAAGGAATCACCAGGAGCGAAGTGCACACCTAAGCAGCTATTGTTGATCCCGTCCGAAATCATGCACCGGCATGCACATGATCTTCACACTGGCCCTTTTGAAACCATCAAGCTGCTGCAGCATGGTGGTTCAGGGAATCGGGCTTAGCTGTGTTGAAGCCTTGGGTGCAGGCCGTTGCGCTGTGAGGTTTTGCTATAAGGCAGGCGTTGGTGATCTAGTCCCCGTGGGAAATGGGCCCGTGCATCACAATTCAAGAACAAGAATGTTGTGATCAAATCGGTGACTGCACATCCAAATTCTAAGCCATCCCAAACCCTAAACCATATAGATCCTAAACCCGAAGGCACAAATCTCAGACCCCAGGCCCCAAACCCCAAAAACGAATCTCTGAACCACTGCAGCGCACAGACTCGCCTTCCAGTACAGCAGACGCCACCTCCGCCGAAGGAAGTCAAACTGCTCGGGTGGCCGCAACCTGCCAGCGGAGAGAAAACCACAGCGGCCCGGAGTTTTAGTCTTAGTTGCCAAACCATCCTTAACAGAAGTAGACATCCTGCACCCCAAGAAACGCCTATAACCCCAATTACGGGACTTCTAACCTTACTTAGTAAGTCCCCTGATCCTCCAAGTACTGCCCGGCCGCTGCGTTTAGAGCCCCCGAACACTCGGAGCCTCAAACATGCGCCAAAGGCCCACCCAGAGACTCCAAAATCCCGCAATTAAGGAATCTACCTTAAATCACATGAGGGTTCTTACTATATGTTTAAAGTATATTCCTCAATGAACGGGTTTTGGAGTCTTGTGTAAACCCTGAGTGAAGCCTACAGCGCAACTCGAGATTTATAAAGGGCCAGGGCACTTGCCACACATGGAGCCCGCAGTGACCATTCGCCCACACACACCCACAAACAGTTGGAAGGCCCTAAGCAAGAGATGTTCTCAATTGTAGCATCCTGCTCGCAAGCAAGCCTCGTTTAAGTACACACTCTGAATGCATTGCCGCAATCTTCACGATTTCGCGAGATCGGTCAGGGCCTCCGCATTCGCACCATCAAGAAGCGATCCGACCCAAACTGGCGTCCCGCACGGCCTTGGCGCAGGTGCGAAAAACTCCAAGACGTAACTATTCAGCATATTATCCAGTTTCCGAAAATAAGGGGTACCATATTTTGGGGTCCTTATAATAAGGATCCTATTATTTGGGGTACTATATTAGGGTCCCCTATTTTCGGAAACCCCCATTTGCGTGGCAGGAAAAGCCCCTCGCTGCAAGCAGGAGCTTCGTTGACACGAGCTGAAGGCTGAGGTCTTACCCTTCTCCGAACGAATCTCAGAACGCTGAGCACCTCGAACAGATTCGATGGGGCTATGAGAACTCCGGGGGCGCGGAAAACAACCCCGTAACTCTTAATGCGGTCACGACCTGAGCCTGAACTCTCAGCACCAACTTGGAACACGAAAATCCCCAAGCTAAGCTCGGAAACTACACTGCCGGAAGTCCGCAAGTTTTGAACCCGAAATCACCAAGACCCAAATCCCTCATCAAAGCCAGCCGCATAAGCCAACCCCAAAGATCCCAACTCCCCCACTGGAGCGAGCACTCTCCAACTTACTCCCCGAAACCCTAAACTCTAAACCCCCCCTAGCCCTCAAGATCCGAAGCCCCCATGCCCCCCGTTCAGGCATCGTGCTGTTGCGTGCAGGGATGGGCGGATGGAGCGTTGCAGATGCATCCGCCGGACAGCCGCATGCTTCCTAAACTTGAGGTGTGGCTTTCAAGGCGTCTCTGCAATAGTGTTTTTGGCCAATACAGGGCTGCTTCTGTCCAAGAATTGGAGTTTGGTTCTCAAAATGTCAAAGAGTTTATCTTTCGCCTTTGGGAACTTACGATTTGGAACCCTAAACCCCAGAGCGTAAGACCCAAGACCCCTCTAAAACTTAAACCTCGAGGCCCCAAAGCTCTTGAATGGAATTTCGATTGCAAAACGGTTGTCGGGGGTTTCTTGCAATGTCGGGGTACTCTTGGTGCTGGTTTTCTGGGGCGCCCAGATAGAGACATCTGCCCTACGATGTTTGGCACTAGGAAGGAAGAGTAGTAGACACACTGCTTCAATGACAAGGGTGCCGGTTTCTGTCTTGAGCATGACTATGAAGATCCCGCACCCAGGTATTAGGCCAAGGACTACCAAGGGATGTAGGCAGTGCTTTTTGGGGGGAATCTGATAAATCAATGCGGCTCCGAGATTCCAAGCGGAAGCAGTCGGGGTCCAGCCCCTCCGTGTCCTGAGGATCAGACTTCAAGGTTGCAAGTGACGAGTTTGAGGGTTTTAGAGCCTAGGGTTTCAGGGTTCAGACTGTTGGATGCTACCTGAAAGCACGACGGCGCTCCCTGCAAACACTCGTAGACACAACAGAAGCTGATATTGGGCAGATCTTCTGGCGGAGTTGTACGAATTATGGCAGGAGCGCTTCTTCGTGACTCAACAGTGGAAGCAGCTGCTCAACACATAGCCGACCATTGCTGCCTTATCAAAGCTAACATCCTCAGTGTGAAGACAGTACATCCCAAGAGGAGTGCATGTATAGGAAACCACACTTTTTTAGGCGGAGCTCGACTTCGAAGAGGTATTCATGAAAGCCGAGCTCCCACGAGCACAAAGATTCGAAAGCCTACACACCCTGAGGCCTGAAGGCCCTGAAGGCCCTGAAGGCCCTGAAGGCCCTGAAGGCCCTGAAGGCCCTGAAGCTGTCAGCGTCGGCCACATCGTCAGCGTGAACGAGCTTGGAGCGGGTCTCGGAAGCTTCTTTGCCTTCAAGGACTGTTAGGACGAAAGGTTTGAAGCCGTGATTGTGATTCGGTCGCTGAGGGCAGGGCCAATGACACCCGCTTCCCGGCGCAAGCGCTCGGACTCCCAGGAACTTAGAAAGTCCACATCCCTCGCCTGACAGGACGTCGCTCTTGGCTGTCAGGCACACTTGGCCGTGAAGACTGAAAACTATTGCAGAGCGGCTTGCCATAAAGGGAGTGGCACTTATCACGCTTTGCTAGCTTTGTGGCTCGCAGTAAAGCTGATAGTATCTCCTGAAGTCCAATGACCCGTGTGCCTGCTGCGCCAACAAGTGCCACTCCTCAAGCGTCTTGTGCATCGCTTCCTTCGTCGCTTACGTGGATCGGAAGCGTGTGATCGTGTCTCCGAGCCTTACGTGCCTGAAGCTAAGCTGCAGTCCGCATCTGTACGGTACGTGCGCGCACCACTCCATGCAAGCTTTTGAGGTTTTGCCGGTGCGTCAAACTGCTGCGGACATCAACCACCTTCCCTGAGCGCCACTCCTCCTCAATGCGCTCAGCATCCTCCTGCCCTGTAGCCCTATCTTGTTTGCCCTGAAGCTTTGGCTGATCCCTCGAGGTTGACTTAAGATCGATCCCGGAGGCCGAGGGCAAAACACATCTTTGAGTGCGGGGAGTACGGCCAGAAGTGCGGGCTTTTTCGAGGGCTGAGATGCCACAGACAATCGCGTTAGTAACATTGGTTGATCTGCAAATGTGCTAGCTGCTAGCAGCTCCCTCTGCACATGTCGGTCTGTTTGTCCGTAGGTATGTATGCATGTATGTTATCGGCAATCAACCTTCAAGCTTCACAGAAACCTGTCTTGAAGAAAGCTGGGTTGCCGGACCTGCATGGCGAGATCTCCCTCATCCATCAATGCTTTGGCCCACTTTCCATGCACCGTCCCAGCAGCAGCCTTGCAGCTGGGCAGGGTCAAAGATCTGCACATTGGGGTCGAGCATTGGGGAGCAAGTCTGCGTGAGCGTAGATGGGAGATTCAAAACATGAGGGGCTAAAAAACAGAGAGGCGTCCATCATAGAACCCTAAACCCTAAACCCTGAACCGCCTTTCGGAACCCTGTAGAACCCCAAGAGGCCAAGCAGGGCACCCACTTTGTTGCATTTGGCCCACTGCGGGTGAGACAGGAACCCCAGCTGCAGGGCGTTTTTCCCCTCTCGGGTAAGGTGCCTCCGGAATCTTCCGGGGAGTGGCTCAACAAGGCCATTTTTTGGTTTGCTTCCATTTTGATGGACTTCCTTGTGTGGAAGCTGTTTTGGAATGTATTTTTGCTTGACAAGGATTGCCAGTAGCATACTTTGCTATTGCTTCTATCCGGGCTAGTCTTTCTACCAGTGCCCTGACCGACACTACGGCTCTGGTCTGATTTTGATGAAAAGGGGACAGAGCCACTAGTGGGCAGCCCAGACCCCCAAAAGGATCTAAACAATAGATCCCCTAATTAGGGACCCTAACTACTAAAGGTACTTTATAGGAACCCCCTTTAGGGGATATTTTTTAGATCCTTTTGGGGGTCTGGGAGTACGAAGCTCTGTGAGCAGCCAGGGCGCCAAGACGTATTCCAAACACTCGGCATCCGAGTGTCCCATCTCTGCATGACGAAGATATGCAGACGTTGCCTGCGCAGAGGTTCGTGCAGTAGGCATTCTCACGATTCGTGCCCGGTTCTTGTGAGCCCGATGGACTCTTGAATATGCAGCACTTGGTCGCAAGACCCAAATCATCCAGAGAGGTTCCCAGGGTGAGCACAACATCGAAACTCTCAAACTAGAGTCATATGTCCCGCGGACATGTTGCAAGGTCGAATCGTCTCGACCCGATCGAGGCTGCTCAGCTCCCTACGAAAAGGTTCAAAATCCTGTCCGGACTAGCATAAGGGGAGAAGGACCCGCCCAAACAGCACGGCTTCAGGAGCCTGCCACAAGTGCTGGGCCAGCATGGTAAAGGGAAGATTTGCTGCAAGTGCCAAGCTGTTGTAGACCATCCATAGCCTCGGGAGTGAGATCTTGAAGCGGGCATCGAAATCACGTGGCCGACACACCAGTCTTAAAGTTTCACCTTCGGGCACTCGTCGAACCAAGGCGAACCTTCCGGGTCACGAACAATTGACAATCCCAGCAACGGAACGACCAGTTGTCATTTGAAGGGGATTCGCATGATTGCTGCATTCTTTCAACATATTCCTTTCCTTTTTCCTTTGTCCAGAGCAGGCGAAAGAGCAGCGCAGCAAGAAGAACCCGGCAGCAACAGTAGGTATCGCAGACAACCACAGCGATAGCATCAACACACCTGCGGTACTATGTTGCGTCTTGGTACTGAAACGAATAGTTGTGCTTGGCCAAGAGACATCTGACAACAGCGCAACCCTCCGTGGGCGGAGTCTGCTTGCTCCTTGGAGCAGGAAAGCACCATGTCTAGTGACTGCTGCCACAACTTGAAACTGACAGGTGCATGAGCAAGGTCAGACGCCAATATCACTTGATCAAGCGCGCCCCCTTCGCGCTACCAACAGATCCATAAGAGCTATCAGCTGTACACTGCAACCCCAAGCCATTCCTTTGCCCCGCCCTCCCTGCCCGACCAGCTTGTCCTGTTGGAGTTGCTGGAAAGACTCCTCAGCAAAGTTGAAGACTTCTAGCAAGTTACCGAGGGACTGCTTAGAAGAAAGCCACACATACTGACAGCATCAGAACTCCTGCGCTGCCTCCACCATGTCTGCCTCTTCGTCAACATCATCACCAGGCAGCGAAATCAGCGGAATCCTCTCTTCTTCCACTTGATATCTTCACGCTCACCAGCATCATCGTCAACAACCATCATGATGCTACTGGTCCAATTTTTTTGGATTTTGGGAAGTGACAGGCTTTGGGGGTAAAGAACTTTGCAGGGCTTTCGGGTTCGCTTCTTATATACAAGGACTCCGCCTTGTTGCCAGCTCTGAATTTTGAACATTCGAACAAAGAACAACCGCAACGTACGTGCACCGCAGGGGTGCCCGAAGCATTAGAATTGGGTGTTGGGGATTTCTGTTGTATAACTATAAATCAATAAATAAGTAGAAATAAATAAACAAATAAACAAATATATATATATATATATATATATTATATATTATATATATATATATAGAGAGAGAGAGAAAGAGTGACCGAAGTTTGCCTGCCAAGTGTTAGAACCCTATGTTACCATGTGAGCTGAGACAGACTCGGCGATCCCCCCATGTCAGACCGGGCCAGGGGGCGTGCAACGCGACATCCAGAGGTTCAGATCCTCCGCGGGATTTAGGGATCAGGGGCGAGCAAGTAGTAAGGTCCGTCGCAACGAATAATCTGCCGCGGGTCCTACTGTAAACCACAGCTTCAAGAAAGTAATCGGGGCTTTCCGGACTTCTAAGTTCCCTGTATGCTTGGAGGCGTGTCGGGCCATCGAAAGCACCAATTCCAAGTGGTTTGCCTGTCGTTTCCCAAGAGTCTCAAGGCTCTCCATACCCTAAACTCAAACCGTACGGAATGGCGTTGACGCGAAACATCCCAAAGATTGTAAAGACCTTAATTCGTTCGATGCCATAGGTCTTTGCCGGGGCCATCGTGGCAATTCGGTAAATAAACCTCTGAGACTCTGAGATCTCAGGCCTTAGGCAGTCTAATCCCGCCTTCGCGACAGGCTTTTAGAATCCGATGGCCAACGGTCTCGTCTGGAAGCATGTCAGATCTGTACCTTGGACCCGAAGCTCAAGGTCAGGGGCTGGTCAAGGGAGGACTTCACTGCTCTTGTTTAGCCTTATTCGTCCATTTTTCCCTCGGACATGGTACCTATAGTTAAAAACATTGTATACAGGCGGGCACAAGATCCAAGCCGTGCCAATGCTGTCGCATGGTTGTCATCTCCATCGGGCCCGCGGGGGGCTTGGACACTCACTTCCATGTGCTTGCCTGCCTGGTAAAATATCAGGGAAAGCCTCTATAGATCATCAATGCCTGCTGCTAAGAACGGCCCAAATCTTCAAGATGTCTCCCGCAGTGGGCATGCATTTCGGGATGCGCAAACTAAACCCTTAAACCCGAAAAGCCTTGGAGCCTTGGGGCCCAAAGCTCCTCTGCCCCGCATGGACCTGAACCTCAACTGTCCGAGTGGCGCCGGAGCGATCGCGGGGCCGGAGACACGCGGCACTTCCCCATGCTGTGCCATGCGCCCTGCTGCAGGTCTGGCAGTTCGGGGTTGAAGGGTTAAGGGCAAAAGCTGTTTAGGGTTTTTTGCAGGGTTTCAAAGTTGAGGGTGCAGGTTGTTTTCGGATTCGAGTTTTAGGTTTAGTATGTGATGGCCGTGATCATTCAACAGCTGCTGGGCTTCAGGTCTTGTTTACTGTAACGACTTCATCAGATCTCCAACCTACAGTTTCAATCCGCCTGACAAACACCCTTGAAGGGAACCGCTAGCGATGAACGGTGCAGGGCACGGGAAAAGTCCGAACTTGCAAACCTTACGCACGCAGAGGTGCGAACATTCTCTCGCAAGGCACGATTGTGCTACATGTGGCTGCATGAAACAATAACATCAACACGCCACTTCTCTGAGAGTCTCATGCTATGCGGAGATCACCATTGCCAAGGTTTCATCGTCGACCGAAATCGCGCGTGGATGGAAGCCGTAGAGCGACCGAGTTTCTGCACCGCCGCCAGCCCCGAAACGTCAGGCCGCAACCCTAAACATCCCCAAACCTAAACCTAAACTCTACCGCCAGGATCAGGGTACGCTTGACAGCAAGCTTATTGGACCCACCGTGGTCGTTCATGTAGACCCATTCCCAAAGTTGGGTAACATTCGACGACTTACAGAACGACTGATAGAAAAACCCTGCATCATCTACAGACAGGAGTATTCCATATGCTGCTACGGGCACTGATATATACTGCTACCACCAGTAGCATTCATAGTAACAACAATAAGTGCCAAAGATAGCAAAATTAAGACACAACAGAGAGCTGCGCGCGCGCGCCGAGGACCGGTAGCAGTTGCTAGAGACTTAGCTCGCCTACTAGAGTATAGCACTGGGGGCCGTATGCCATAGAAAAGACTGTCAGCGCTTGAAAGGCATTGCAATGCTTCACAGTCGACGCCTCGTGCTGAGCTTGCGACTGCCCTCACTCTTGAGAACTGAACGCTTGCAGTTCTTCCAAACGGATCGAGGGCAAAAGGGTCCAGGATTTACGTTGCAAGGTTTATGGTTCGGGCTTTAGAGTTAGGGCCAAACTGCTATTAGCCACCAAAATGTAAACCTTTGACAGTTAGCCCAACGTCCTCTTCAGGGCTTTAGGGTTCTAGTGTTTAGGGCTTTATTGATTCGTGACTCAAGGCGCAGGGGCTTGGCGCTGCTTTGCGGCTGTGGCTTCCGGAATCAGTGGCAGGGGCTGGATATTTGGGCTTGGGTTTCAAGGCTGTAGGTGCTCGGGCTCAGGATCGGGACCTCGAACAAGACATTTCAGCCTTACCATACAACTCTCCCTGGATCGAAGACACTCTGCTGCTGATGCTACGACATCGTTGCATGCATGTGCCAAAACACCGCTCTGACTGATTAATCGAGAAAAACAGTGAGTCGTTTCCTTAAACATGCCTCGGTGGGGGATCGTGTAGACATGACCACAGGATCTCCAAGGAGGGCATTTTGAAACTTTTGCACTTCATGCAAGCAGTCGCAGAGTAAAGGTGAAACGAAGCTGCGGCTGTCCTACATCGCCCAATTTGGCGGACCCTGACCACTGAACGGTTTGAATCTTCTCGGACGGATTTGAACCGCAGTGGGCCAGAAACCCCCGAAACCTGTCAAGGCAGGAACTAAGAGGTGGTATGATTTTGTGGGCACAAACATGTAACATGATCGACCACACCAAACCTACTTCTCTGCAAGGCGTGATAGCCCAAACCGCAGGCTATGAGCTACTCTGGAAAAGACGGGAACTACGGAGCGCTCAACCACATGCATGATCGGGGAACCTTAAGCAGTTGACTTACTGGTTATTCAGGCCCCTATAAACACACGATTAGTGATTAAGGACTCGTGAGATCTCTGTGTGGAAAAGAAGACGCCGGCTAGCCATTCTCGGATTGCTTACGGCCCTCAGCGGCTCGAGGGTTCAATCTGAGGGATGTGGGGGCTCGGGCTTCGTGAGATGTAAGGCTTTGCAACTGACTTACCCAAAGGGCCCCGTCCTAGAGTTCTGCCCGCTCCCGAGCAGCATCAGTCGGGAATCTGGAAGGAGATGCCTGGCTCTGAGGGTCTTCGACTTGAAGTTCACCACGGTTCACGCACAATCAGCGAGGCAAGTCTCATCGCTGCAAGTACTCCCAAAGCCCAACTTTATGCTACCTTCCCTATAGTGGCGCACTTCGAGGTTCGCCTGCAAAGTCAGCCCATCTCCACAAGTTTGCTCCCGAGTGCTAGTAAAGATGAGCATCCTTCGGACACGAAGCTCCCATCTTCACGTGTGTGACCTTCGAAACCAACCAAAGTCTTCCCCGGTTTCGGAAAATAGGGGACCCTAATATAGTACCCTAAATAATAGGATCCCTATTATAAGGACCCCCAAATAAGGTACCCTAATTTTCTGAAACTCCCACATAAAGGTCGAAGGTGCCACCTCGAGAGAAGCAAGTTTGTACTCCCGACTACCTACAGGGTCGTTGTCCGGACGACCCTCCCCGTCCACGAGAATCCCAACCACCGAGAAAGTGATTGCTAGCCCTTAAACTAAAACCCACACCGCTAGAAGGTCTGCCCTAATACTTGGAATCCTAAAGCCCCTAAAATAGAAGCATCATGAAGCCGCTAAGCAAAGCAACCTATTCTTGACGTCCTACAGGAGCCCGAGGTTCAAGAAACCCTGGAACGAAGATGCCTGGATCATCTTGGCTTCCGACCTCGTGCTTATTCCCACAAATGTCTCAGGGTCTAAGTGTGCTCAGGGTCAAAGATTTAAGGCGCAAGGGCATAGGATTAATATTCTTAGGTTTGGGCGGCGCGTGGCTCGGGGAGCATCGAATTATCATAATGGGTATATAGAGTGCTGCACCCTACAGGGGCCTCTAAACAGAACTTCATCGAAACTCATGCAGCCTCATGCATTATCTGTGTTTGCATTCCTCTCAGCGGGGGCTCCTCTTGGGTCCGTAGTTTTCGCTGCCATACTTTTCCGGGATGGCCAGAAGAGGCCTTGACTTAGAAAGCTTTCCCAATACACCAAATTGCCGTGTTGGTGCCCAACTACCTCAGGAAATTGCGGGTTAACCTTCCAGAAGTGAATGCCATGTCAGAATCAGAAACCCCAAAACTTCTGAAGGTTGGATCATATTAGACGAAGCATACTGCAGGGGCCTTAATAGTTAGAATAGGGTTTTGGGGATTCCTTATTGTAAACATAGTATATCATAAATATACCCCAAACCCTATTCTAATTATTAAGGCCCCTACATTACGTTTGTCAACACCCATGGCCATGAACCCTCAAAGCAGTAATTATAATATACCCAAACCCGATTCTGAGTATTAAGGCCCCTATAGTAGCTTCACAGGTTCTCAGGCCATAGCCGCATGCCCGGAGTGCTCCCTGGAGCCTGCGCAGGGGCTGTCTGGGGTCAACCTTTCCGGCTCTGTAGTCTGGAATAAGGATCCTGCTTAATATACATAAGAGGGTTTAGGGTTTAGGGTTTAGGATCCTGCTTAACAGGGATATTGCCTGAAATTTGGGTAAGCTCACGCCGATTGGGCAGGTAAGGGTTTGGGCCAAAGTTGGCGGTGTAATTAAATTCCGTGCTGAAAGCCTGCAAATGCTGAGCACTGTTACCGATGCAATTCAAACCACACCAACCTCGGAACATGATCATTTTTTGAATACCTACATGAGGAGAAGCTGTCCCGCAAGAAGATCAACAACTGCATGCAAACCCCCCTGAAGGCCTGAGCTGTCATCTGAAGGGGGTACAGTAGCTTCCGTTGGACCGAAGAGTGTAGGACAGAGCTGCTGGATCCCTGCTGGGCCTGAGTCCGGAGAGTCCTTTACAACCGCGGTTTGGGGCTTTGGGTTTCAGCTTTGAGGGTGGGCCTTGGGGCGCGTTGAGCCATCCATCTTTTTGCACACTCGCCATCCTGACCCAGGCATCTGCTACTTCTTGGCACAGTCGATGCGACGGCCCCAAGTGGACCGCATGAAACGACGTGGCTCGAAGTGATCGCGCTGTGGAACAGCCGAGCAGCCTTTGCTCATCACGACATCGGGAAACTCTTGGACCTGACAGTCTTCGCCATGTACTCCCCCAAGCCCCCTCAGAGTAGATGCCCCTCAAAAGCCAAGTATATTACATCGAGGAACATGCAGTCATTTAGTGGGTGGGCAAGGGGGCTGTAGCTGTCCCTTCGTACAGGTTTCCTCGAACTCTGCATCAACCTCTCTTTGGAAGTTGGATATGTGTGGGACCTATGCCCAAACTGGGCTGATCACAGCTTGTACGCGCAGCTCAGGGTTTGATCGTCACTTTGCACCAAGCTCCCCTTCGGGACTTGGATATGGTTCAGGTACAAACATCCCTTTGGGACACAGGCCCAGACTGGTCCTAGCGTAGCAGGATGCAGCGCTCAGCATGCGAGGCCTTTGCCAAGCCCAGGCTCTTCAACATCTACATACTGACTGTGGCACCCTCTTCACATGCCTCTCCCTTGCCAAGCAACCCAATGCGAATCCGTTTTGTGTCCCCAGCATCGGGAACTACAGCGGAGTCCCCTGCAATGACCTCGCAGAAGCCCGCATGCAGGCTGCTGACAATGGCATTGCCGTTCTTGAAGATTGGGAATGCGAAATGGGTCTCTGCAAACCACTCATCCTCGAAGCTGAAGCAGGGTCGAACTGGTCGCGTAAAGTGCCGCATGGTCATCAGCACCATAAAGGCTTCAATGAACTTCCACTATGAACATGAGGCCTTCAAACCCGAGGAGAAGCCAGTTGATCAACACCAAGCCGACCAAGAACACCACCGACAGTCCTTCCAGAAACCTGCACGGTATCGTGTAGGGGCGGCTCATCTTCACCTGCCACAGGAACTTCAAGTACCTTTCTGAAGACACTGGTGTAGATAGGGGGAGCGTCCTTACGAAGGAAATACTGAGGACCAGTGCCAGGAACACCAAGACGAGCAAGATGATTATGTTGACGTAGAAGGCCGTCCGAACCAGATCGTCTGGTTGGCGAAGTTCCTCCAGAGTCCAGCATTCTGTGGGCGGAAGCCAGCCAGTCCACATGTACTCCAGGAAAGCTTCCTGGTAGCCAAGGAACTTTCGGTAAGACACCGCCCCGATCACCTGCGTCAGATCGTAACGTACGATCATGAAGACTTCCGAGAGAAGACCCCTAAGAAAGAAGAAGTTGGAAAATTGGAAGACTGCCAGGCCGGTAAACTCAACCAGAACCAAATGCAGGATCGCTGGAACCCGCATGGTAAGGCGGTGGAGTTTCGAAAGCATGGCTTCTTCCCTCCAGCGGCTCAAAGCTTCCCAGTTCTGGGGGGGGGGGGGGGGGGGGNNAGGGTGCGGGGTGCGAGATGCTACGCTTCAGATCTCGAAAGTCTCGGGCCGTCTAAAAGGCGATTCTTCTGGAGCTGTTACCTGCTTAGCAGCTCTCTTACCGTGAGAACCGGACTTCCGTGGTCGTCAAGACTGGAGGAATGGAACCCCCGGTGGATTCCCAAGAATCAATCTTTATGATTCCCCTTTTCCCCCTAGACAGCCGTTTCGAACAGCGTGCACGACGACCGAATGGGGCCTAGGATGATGAAGGCAACTATGCATCGAAGATCCCCCCGTCCGAAGCCCGGGACGGCTGCAGCCTGCCAGACCCTAACAGCACGTCCGAATCTCTCGACGCTCCAGGCGGAAACTTCTCGCCTCTCCGCCGATGAGGCTCTGCGAAGAAGTTGCTGATCCGGGGGATGCTCTCCATGTTGGCCTGGTCTGAAGGCATTTCGACTCGAACATGGCCCTCAAAACAACTCCCAAAACTCTAGGTCTTGAGCCCTGCAACTCAAAGCGACAGAACTGGGTGCCAAGATCGCAACCTCGAAACCCGAAGAACCACAACACTAAAACCTGACCTCTAAGCCTCCCGAGCACGGCCCCGGACTCCACCAAGTGCCCCTGGACTAAAAGACCTGAAACCCCCGAAACGATGTCCCTAAACCCTAAACCCTAAACCCTAAACCCTAAACCCCTTTTTCGGAAGCCTCGAAATCGTCGAGGTCCGAGCAGACTCCGGCCAAGGCCTGATCTGCCAGGCTCGACGGCTGCGCTTTCAGGGCACCGCTTTGGGCTTTTGGGGCTTCCTCTGAATTTTAGGGGAAGTTGAGGGCTTTTCGGGTGTCACCTAGGTCACTATAGGTGTTATTCTATTCAGAGCCTCAAGGCTCTGAAGGCTTCAAGTGGGTTTGAGGCTTCAAAGATTCGGGTCCTCAGGCCTTGGAGTCTTGCGCAACTGGCAACTCTGGAAATTGTGCCTGTGCTCACCTCCTTACCCTAACCCTCCAGGTACCTACTATATAGGGCCTTAGGGGCTCTAGTACCCTATATAGTAGGTACCTGGGGGGGTAGGGTTAGAAAGTCCTCACCTTGCCTGGTCCTGACTGCTCGACCGCATGGTGAGGAGCGACCGCGCAGGCCTCAGTGAGAATGTCAGGGGCGATGCTGCGCTGCCACTAAGGCACTAGTCTGACCGTAGTGGCACTGAATAGAGCATGGAAGCCATACGAGGAGAAATGTGACGAAGAAAAGAAGCGAGAGATGCGAGTGTAAACACAGAATTCATGCTCGTGGCCAGTGCAGAAAAGGCCTGCACCACCATCCCGAATGCCCTTGAAACCTGTGTCACCATCACCACGTTCACCATCATTCACTGCGAGTTTCAGAACGTACGGGACGCTTGCACCTAATTGAAACAGACGGGCCTCTTACTGTAAGAATTAGCACAGGGCCCCTGCTGGATAGAGTAAACTCAACTGTATTTACCACATTCTAGAGCATAAGGCCTGAAGAGACTGAGGAAAGGACAGTCGGAGCTGCGGCGAAGAAACGCTTCCGAGAGTGGATGTGGGACTAAGCCTTCAAGTTCCGAGAAGCTCGGGAGCCGTAATGCTCTAGAAGCCACAGAGAGTTCTTTGCATCCTCATCTACAATGTACGATGGGTAGAAGAGCCAGCGAAGAGTTTTCGAAGACATTGCAAATGCAGCCTAAGGGGCCTTCATGATTCAGGGATGCTAAATTGAAGGCTTGGGGTGCAGTGTGCTTCAAGTACAGGTTTCAGGTTTCAGGTTTGGGGTTTAGGGCATAGGCTTCTGCTGCAGGTGCAAGATTGGCCATCCATGTACAAAGCCCATATAGGGATTCATTGATGAAAGCTGTTAGCTGGTACACTCTAGCTGCCTTCCTCGACCCCTAAGCCAAGGACAGCCCCGGACACCACACAGAATCCTCACCCAAAGCCCAGCGATCTCGACCCAAAAGAGACTTTCGATTCGAAACAAAGGATCCTCACAGTCCCTCAGATCGAGGACAGCGTAAGCCTTAAAATTATAAGCCTCTCAGCCCCAACATCCAAAACCTTCTTCCCCGACAGCCTGAAGATGTTCTCAGGCTGCAATGAAGTACTGCAAGAACTTGCAAATTCAGCGCGGTTTCCGCGATCGTAATACTGTTCCTTGCATCCGTAGTGTCTTCGTTCACAACAATCCAGGCTGCTACTCGTACCTAAACCACAAACCCTGAATTACAAACCCAAACTGCCAACACTATTCTCAACCCCGAGCCCCACACACTTGGCGTGTAAACCCGAAGATGCATGAACCTTCAACTGCTGCTGCCTTCCAGATGATCTCAGGCTCGGTGCCTGACGTCTTTCGGGCTGTGGGGATGGTTAGAGCAGGTATGATTTGGGGTTCAGGGCGCTTCGGGGGTCTATGGTCGAGGGCTGTGTGCTTTGGCATGCAGGGGTACATGGACCAGGGCTCAGGCTCTACGCTGCGGTTTTTTTGCTCAGCACCCTCTTGTGTGGGTTCGAAGCTGAGGATCTTGAGGGGACATTGGGTTTGGGGCTTTGTAGGGGAGGAATAGAAGGCTCAGGGTCGAAGGCCACAATGGAAGATGTCATGTATGCTTCATCTGTGCTGTCTTTCCTGCTTTCATTGCCAGAGTCTCTCAAGATACGCTATGATTGCTTGCCAACAATAGAGTTATGTGACAATGAGGGTTCTTCGCTATCGCGGCCAGTCTTCTCGTGACCATCCTCGACTTTGCAGCATCATCGTCAGTACTGTTCCTTGTTAGATGATCCGTGCCGGCAAGTTTACAAGGGTCTGCGGTTCAGGGCACTTTGAACCAAGACTTGCGTTATGACAAGGGCATAATTTTCGGGTGCTGTGTGATGAGTTTGGGCTGCAGGGTTGTTTGCGTACTGTGTGTGATTCTGCACCGTAATGGAAGGCTTTCTAACTCACAATGTTGACGCGGATTGGAATAAGTATCCGACAATTCACAGCTCCTGTAGACCGAGCAGGTTACAAGTCAGGCACGTGCTGGTCTTTTATATGTACCGGATTAGAGTGCAGCAGTTTTTGTCCCGGTATCAATGCCGAAAGCATGACATATCCTTCATACCGCTGTCACGCCCAGTCGAATCATGTTGCGCAAGCTTTCGCATAACACATACTACATATACTGAATTCAGGCACCCACATGCGCCTTGAGATTTCGGGGTTTAGGGATCAGAGAATGATTTCGCGAGATGGGCACGGCTCGAAGCCTGGCAAGAGAACCAATGGCCTCTAGCACAAGCTCTTTGACTTGCTTGCCAAAAGAGCCTGCAGCTTCAACTCGGAATCCAGGCCGGAGATCGCAACCATGCTTAAAGGGAGAAATGCATGTCGCCAGAACTGCAGCCCAAAAGCCTTACAAGTCCACACCAAACCTGATGGCCCACTACGAATAGGTACCGAATGAAAACTCTACTACTTGCACTTGTACTGGCCCGTGAGCCAAGAAATTGACCAAGTAAGCTCCCAAATTGACATTGCACCATCTTATTGTTTCAGATTTGGTTTTAAGCATGTTCTCTGCTAGACTCCCCACTGGTTGGCATCTGTACTCCCGGAGCTGCCTGCAGCAGCTGCGTCGCCTTTGGCGACTCTGGCTGCGAGGCGACCATGACCTTTCACGTGCGTCGAACAAAGGCTCAACAAATGCGCCGAGTTTTGAAATCTTGACCTGGCAAAATGGGGACTCAAGCATTTGAAGGTTTCGGCTCTTGGGTGGGCCGGTTTGGTAGGTTTGGGGCCGGCTAGGCTTTGTGAGATGGCTCTGTGTTTTGGGGCCATGGCAAGGCCTTCTCACGCCGCTCGTCCTTTTTTAGCACAGAGCTTTGTGTTTTCGAGGGCTCTTCGCGGGTTGGTTGCTGTAAGGGTTCCCTTAAGGGTACATTTCTTCATGGGCCGGTGGCAACAACTGTGTCCGGGCCGCATTAGCGCATCGAGGGCACCGAGCGCAAGTCTAGCAAAACCTGTCTCCGTCATGTTCAGGCATGCACAAAATCAAATCCCTTACAGTCACCCTTGTAGCCTCTGACTTGAAGGAATTTTCAAAGGACCCCCAAGACCACATGATCGAATATATCGTAACATCCAGCGACCCCTGAAATAGACCAGTAGCAACCCTCACAGCAGCCCATTCCTTCGAAAAATATCTTGTTAATAATAATAATAATAACAATAATAATACTAATAAAAAATGTTTATTAACTGATAATAACTATCATGGATCGTATTCCCTTTAACCGGACGCCCGAGCCCCCGGCCGGATAGACCATGGCCCGGCGCGGTGGCGGCAAGGACTCTTGGGCCTCAGAGCGGCGGCGCACAGGGCGGTTTTTTGGCGTGACCCGGGTTTCGGTTTTCTAGGATGCTCGTAGGGTTTAGGGTTCAGGAATGCGTGCATGAAGGCTTTCTACCAGTGGCCGGGATTTCCTGGGGGGTTTTTAAGACTTTTAACGTCGATTTGGTAGGCAAGATGGTGCTACGGGGAATGGAGTTGTATTAGAGGGCTTACACGGTTTTGTTTAGGGTTGCAGGATCAGGGGACTTTGCAAGCAGCTTCGGGTTCGGTTCTGAGTTCCCGACATGTATGAAAGGCCTACTTATGAACCCATTCTGTGGTTTCTTAGACTTGAGTGCGGCTTTTTGTCATTGTCGGTCCCTATGTTCAGGAGCCTATCGTTCAGGGTCTATACTGGCTGCCTTGTTTTCTGATACCCCGGATGGTTTCTTCGAGCCGAGGGTCTTTGGGGTTCGTGTATAGGGTTGAGGCACAAGTAGGGTCTCCAGCATAACAAGAAACCACACCACAAAGACCGAGATCAAAGATCGCCATGAACTCTCGGCCATTTCCTTCATGTAGAGCCTTAACCCGAAACGGAACACCTGGCTCTCAACCCAGAATCCGACAGCCGCGCCTTGGGAGAGCTCGGATGACTCATCTGAGTGCGGGTAAAGGTGCCTGTGGGCTCTCACGTCCAGACAGTGCGGGCTTCGACCATCGTCTCTTTTGTTAGTGCTACTGCTTCCAGCACTGGCACAACACTACAACTGCGGTAGCTGGCGCCATCTGTTGTTGCGCTGTGCGGTACCACCTATCTCCTTTGTGTAACACGTCCCCCTGTGATAGCAGTATGAATGGTGCAAGCAGACCTTACCAAGGTTATGGCAGCATTCGATTGCATCTAGTCATGTTCGTATTTTCTATCATTAAACATCGATTTGCGTAGTATGAGTGTGCCTACTACGCCCCGCTCTACTAACAGGCAATATGGAAAACACACACCACTCGGAACTTGTTATAATATACTATTACTCATGACCGTCTCTATTTTCGCTGCTGTGTGTGCTTTTCCTGCAGTTCCGAGGGATGTCGACTGCAGTCTCTTGCTGTCACGCACTGTGCACTCTGTAAGAAGCGTACGGAAAAGGGCCACGGTGTTGGGGTGTTCAGGGTAGTGAAGGGCGGCACCTGTGGATGACTGTATGCTGCTGTTCCAAAGAGCTGATGAGAAAACCGGCCCTTGATTTCGAGTTGAGCCGCGGTCTCGCATCACTCGGACAATGCAGCCCTGAAGCAACTCGGGGCCGTTACCTCCTGCTTTTACTCGGTCGGGATCTCGCCGCGTCACCGTCGGTGAGAAGTCCTGCTTTTGATGCTCGCAACAGGAAATGATTGTGCATGTGGTTTCGCCAGTTGGAGCTGCCCCCCGGCATTGAATCCTCAGAATGTGGCCGTAAATCTCTTCGCTGCTTGAAGGATCTTGGGTATAGGCCACCATTGCTATGTGCAGAAACCCGTTCTACACACACAGAAAACACAAACCAAGAAACAGACACACCCACAGAGACACGCACACCCACACCTCTTGGGCCACCTGTTAGGCCAACCAAGATACCCTACATGGATACCGGCTTGTTCGCTTTGCATTGTGTCGGAGGCATTGCGCGTGCAGCATATACAAACTCGAGCCAACGTTAACCAACTTCGAGACATCAGCCTCACTCCAGACCTTCCGCCGTATGCAGGTGTTCAACAGGAATATGACATGCGAAGCCCATTCCAATCGTTCCCGTCGTGACACACCGAAAAACTGTATCCACCCCCTTGTCTGGAGAAGCGAGATAGATACAGAAGGACTTAGCAAAGAACATGCTAATAGATGCTCCGGAAACCACCCCAAGATAAGCAGGACTGTATTTCACAGTTGCGGCGATGCTGTGGGACAAGAGAACTTGACCATCCCAAGGGCTCCAGTTTACCTAAATAGTAGGTTACTAACCCTATATTATGTACCCCAGTAACCTACTATTTAACCCTAAACCCCCAGTTACCTACTATATAGGGTACTAGAGCCCCTAAGGCCCTATATAGTAGGTAACTGGCGGGTTAGGGTAAGTAACCCTAAACCCTAAACCCTAAACCCTATATTATGTACCCCAGTAACCTACTATTTAAGTTACTGGAGCCCTAGGGCATCGCTGCTCGCCCCAAAAAAACGCAGCCTCGTGCATGAGCGTCTTCTTCTGCTCCGGAGCCGGCGGCGCTTGCGTGCGCCGAAACTGGGCCTAGGGTTTAGGGTTTAGGGTTTAGGGGTTTAGGGTTTAGGGTTTAGGGTTTAGGGTGAGGTGCTTTGATGTGGCTCAGGCGACACAGTAATCCTTGCACGAATACGACCACGTATTTAGGAAAAGGGTGCCGAAACTACTGAGGGCGAAGTTTCGACATACCCATCTGTCTATCCCTGTCCACCTATCCACTTATCTACCTATCCACCAATCCATCCATCTACGCACCAGAAAGCTGCAAATTCTAGCTGTACAGTGTGCAGCTCACCTGTTTTGCTGTCAATCCCAAAACCCTTTGCAAACCAGTTCTAAACCCTCGGGCCTTAACCTTGAACCTGCAGGCGTGTGCACCATGGCTCTTGAGGCTTCTGTCACAGCTCGAAACCCACCGCCTGAAGTATCCGAAGGCTGGCCCGATTGCAGCAGAAGATGAGCAACCATTTCTGCAAGAGCTTCAGCGTACCAAGCCACACACCGCGAACGCCCTAAACCCTAACAGCTTTACTTGAAAGCGTCAAGGCCCCAATTTCTCAACCCGGAACCCGGGCAAATCTGTGCCCCGTTGCCATGGAATGGTCGGCGAGGAGATCCTCGTTGACACGGGTACCAATCTTTTCGAGGCGCTGCCTGGTGTCAGAGATGCTTCGTCGATTGTCTGGTACTATGTACGTTTGATGTTTGCAAGCGGTCTTGCGGTCTTGTTCTTGGAGGCTTCTTGGGTCTTCTCTGGACGAAAAGATCGGGGCACTGGACAAGTGGATCGGAGCTTGGATCTGCTTCAGCTGACAAAAGCGAAGACTTGGCTGAGGGCTTCGGAACTCTACCGGGCCTAGGCCTAGGATTCGGGGCAGCCATGCCAAGCTGCGTGTACCCTAATTTTGAGGTTTGTGACAGTTGAACAAAAGTTCCTCGTAGCTCTGTAGCCCGACTCACAACTGCCAAGTGCAGACGGGATCCGAAGCGCTCAAAGGTTGGAAGCCCTGACTGAAAGACTAGAGAAACTGGGACTCCGCGGTGGAAAACACATCATTTCTGAATATTTCATAGGGGGACGGCTGAGCTCTCCATTCCCTCGGCCCCCCTGCAGCTGAGGCACTTGGTGACCGGGATGGTGCCCTTCATCACGCTGGCACCCTGCAGGATGCGTGCATGCCAACGCTGCATGCACATCTCGGGCACGAAACGCCCTGAACTCTTTCCAACACCCCACGCAGCTGCCTGAAGGATCATAGGTCTTTCGAGTCGGACCTCTGCACAAAAGGGTACCTTTAGGGTATGTGTTTTAAAGCGGCTTGCTCATTGTAGTCGGACCCCTATGTTTGAAGTGAGCCTTTTCATCCCAAAGCCCTAGGTAAACACCAAAATACTAGCCTCGTGGCACTCTATCGCAGCAAAGCTGCAGAAGGTTTCGGGCCCCGGCGTAGAGACTCGAAGTACAAACTTTTGCTTCAAGGAGCACCCAGAACACATCGAGCGCAAAGGATCTCTATATGCGGGCCTTTATGATTAGACTATGGCTTTTAGGAACATTGATATAGTACATGTATTCAGGAACCCTCAGGAATAATACTATTATGGCTTGAAGCCCCTTTATGATCTAGTTTTCATCCACGCCCATTCAACACGAAGGCCCAAACTTTGAAATCTGACGTGCCTCCGAGCTTCAACATGAGGCTTAAGCGCCGGAGCTGTTAGGGTTTGAAGGGGATTAGAGATTTCATTGGATGGGTTTGGGACAGAACTCTAAACTCCACCCCCTAAAACCCTACATGAGCCCATCAGCCCTATCGCCCCTTAACCCTATAAACCCTAAACCCTAAACCCTAATCCTTAAACCCATTATTAACCGCATAAACTCCAAAGCCCTGCTTTACGAAGCCTTTTTGAGCTGCTTCTCCCGCGAGGGGCCCCGCTGTCGCCGAGGCGTTTCAGCCGGTGGCGGGGGTGGCCTCAGATCTCCGGGGTGTAGTTTAGGGTTTAGGGTTTAGGGTTTAGGGTTTAGGGTTTAGGGTTTAGGGTTTAGGAATTCCGGGATTCAGGGTGTGTACGGTTTAGGAGTTGGGGGGTGTGGGGGCTACAAGCGAATACGGT